TTAGGCTCGATAGGAGAGGTAGAGTGCGTGTTCCATGAAAATTCAAGGGTTTCAAATCTTGTGTTACAGATGGGTAGCTGATGGTGTCGGGGTGGGAAAAAGGTGGGGATGTAAAGAACCATAAAAAAACAATTGCGTACAATGCAAGTAAACTGTGTAGCTTGTATCGCTACTTCAAAAATGGGGAGTTTGAACGGGCTCTGACCGCCTAAGGGGTCATGCCACTTATAATCTTGTAGATCGAAAGTCATTAGGTCTGGGCCGATCGCCAGAAATTCGGGTATTGGATAGTGACCTTCGGGGAGAGGTATAGAAGTGTTTAAGTGCGGAGTGTGTTGTTACACCCGCTAAGATGCCTCCATGTTCTGGATGGAGCTAGATGCAGTCCCCTGCGGATCTGAAGGTAAGATGTTCCAGGCTTTGAGAAGGTCTAGGCCAGCCTCTAGATTTCTGATAGTAAAGATCCTGCCTTGGTGCCGTACCGATAGTTTTGTGGGGAAACCCCATTGATATGCTATACCATGGTTTCTTAAGGCTTTGGTTACGGATATCATTTTTTTTCCTGTTGAGAAGTGTGGCTTTGGATAAATCTGCATGTAATCGGAGATTTACATGAGATGATGGGAGTGGTGGTGGGTTTCTAGCCGCCACCATAATTTTCTCTTTAATGTGGTAAAAATGTACACGGGCGAGTACATCTCTAGGGATAGATGCCGACAGAAATGGGGGCTTTGGGAGTCGATGAGCTTGATCGATCGCAAGCTCTAAATCAGAGAGTGATGGGATTAAGAGTTTGATGAATTGCTGCAGGTACGGTAGTAAAGCCTCGTTGGTGATTGATTCAGGGATCCCTCTGAGTTTAATATTGTTACGGCGTGACCGATCTTCCAAATCTTCTAGTTTTAAATTGATTTGTTCGATGTCAGATGAGTGATCCGCGTGAGAATCGATCATATCATTATGTGCCGCTATTATATCTCCCATATTAGTTTCAACGTGACGTATTCTGCGTTCATGTCGGTGCACTAGGGTAGTAAGTTGGTTTAGTGGTGCGGAGATGTCGTTGTGCAGGGTTTGTCGCAATGACGTAAGCATGTTTTTCATGCATATTTCTGTCAGCGGTTGATCTGACGCAGGAAATGCGTCTATGTCAGGCAGGACTGTATGAGCTGGCTGAGGTGGGAGGTTGAGGGCCTGGTATGAGGGGTCAGGGTCTCGGTCCAGTCGTGGCTGAGATTTGGCTGGGCTGCTAGTCGTGGGGGACAGTGGGGGTGACAACTCACCAGGATATAACGGATGCTGCAGCCTGGGATCCATTTGCTGAGCCCTGTAGTCCTCCTCGTGGCCGCTGCTGACTCCCTGTCTGTCATTATTGCGGGCTCCATCTTGGGATCCCGACATGATGGCCGGGAAGAATTTCGTCAATTTCCCTGGTTGCCCCGGGCTCTTTCTCCTGCGGGGCATGTCTAGTGGGATGCGGGCACACTTCAGCTAGGTGAGTGTGCTTTTTTCTCTCCCTGGGGTCAGTGTGTGTCGCTTCAGTGCTGGCGGATGGACGGAGCTTTCTCTATAGCGCGTCCATCTCCCAGCTTGGGAGTTTTAAACATACATGCAAAACATACAAAGAAGAGGGTCTTGTTTGCTATTACCAGATAGGAAAATTGCAACCGAAACTGTTTTTAATCCCAGTGTTTTCCTAATTTGGTCCCTACCTTTTTAATATGCATGCAGGCTTTTTTTTTTTTTTTTTTTTTTTTTTTTATTCTTTTTCTGGACACAAACATTAATTTTCCTAATATCAAGCTAACGTCCGCTTGTCTGTCACCAGCCTGATATTTGCTTGAACCCCCTTGTAACTATTTATTTTAGTCCTTTGCTCTTTAAAAAAAATTATAATCTACCATTTTTATTTTTATTTTTTTTTACATTTATGCATAGAGGAAAGCACTGCTATCATGATCCCTCAGTATGGGATTCTCCTCTGGCGTGTAGAATGGGGAACAGTTTAGGTTCAGAGAGGTACAATTTGGGAACTACAGCCTGTAGCAAATTGTAGTAAAAATATGAAACCTATGAACTAAAATAAATAAACCCAGCACTACAAAGGACTATGCAATTATTATAAAAAAGTATGTCACCATTAGCACAAAAGTGTAGTTTAACCACACTCAGAACTCAAAGAACAATATAAATCACTGCTGGCACCTTTATTAGTAATCACACATGAAATAAGAGTGTGTCAATTTAAACACCCCAGCTTCAGTGTGAACAAATTTCAATAATTGGTAATCAATGAGTTGCATAGAAAATCCTATTCAATAAAAAAAAATCCTTAAGTAGTCCATAAACTTGTGCAAAGAAATGTGCTGCATTTCCTCCCAACACCATACACTTGTGCATCATTTTATTTATTTTTTAATTTTCATATGTGAGTGGCTTTTTTATTAATCGATTTTGGGTTATCTTACTGTACCATTGGAGGATGTTACTTTTTTTGTTGTTGAAACTTGGTCCGTGCCACTGTGAAGTTGGAGTGTTTTGAGCACACTTGTATTTCATATGTGACTTCATACCAAACATATGGCTCGTTGCTAACACAGCAGTTGAAAGTACTTTTATAAAATTTATTTATTTATATATATATATATATATATATATATAACACACAGGTTTTCGGTTTACAAATGAAAATCCATTGAAAATAATGCCTTGGTTTACAAATATTTTAATGAATTTTTTTCGCAAGACGAAGTGTATGTTGGTGCCGATTTTTAACTGCAATTGCCAGGTTTTTGTTTTTTTTTTTCTTCACTATAGCTCACCGAATTAGCTGTCACTTAAAGGGAACTTTTGTTTCTTTTAAGAAACTAAAAGGAAACCTTGTTTCTTTTACTCCAGGAAATAAACTAAAAGGAAACTTTCTTCTAGCTGGGGGGGAAAGTGACAGCTGAATCTCTGAGCTATAGTGAAGAAAAAAAAAAAAAGCGGTAATTAAATTTAAAAACCGGCACCATAATAAATAAAACAACGTCGTGGGGTCCCCCCCTCCATTCATACCAAGCCCTTCGGGTCTGGTATGGGTTTTGAGGGGAACCCCCAAGACAAAATTTTAAAAAAATTGTGGGGGTCCCCCCCAAGATCCATACCAGACCCTTGTCCGAGCATGCAGGTCAGGAAAGAAGGTGGGTGAGCTGGTGGTGGTGGGGGGTCTGCGGGCTGGGTGCTTTTCGGAATCTGGAAGCCCCCAGATCCCCCCCCCCCCCCATGTAAATGAGTATGGGGTACATGGTCCCGCTACTCATTCACAAAAAGTGTAGTGTGAAAAAAGACAGGTCTTTGACAAGTCCTTTTATTAAAAGAAAAAAACGAAAAGAATGCCCCCCGCAGTAGATCCAACGTCAATCATGATGTCCGCCGCCGACCCCCAAAAATTTTTTTTTTTAAAAAAAGGCTCTGCTCCCGACGCTGGCTCCCTCTGTCTGCCTGCTCCGCTGGCTTGACAGTTCTTAAATATGTAAGGGGCGGCGTCGCCTGGTGACATCACGTGTGTACCCCACCTCCTTGTGGCGTAATCATGTGATGTCACTGGGTGGCCCCGCTCCTTACATATTTAAGAACTGTCAAGCTAGCTCAGAGGCAGATAGCCGGGAGCCATCGCCGGGAGCGGAACCTTTTTTTTTTTTTTCTTCTTCTTTTTTTGGGTCGGCGGCGGACATCGTGTTTGACATTGGATCTACTGCGGGGGGGGACATTCTTTTAGTTTATAAAGGATATTTAATAAAGGACTTGTCAAAGACCGTGTCCTGTCTTTATTCACACTACACTTTTTGTCTTTCGTAAATGAGTAGCGGGACCATGTACCCCATACCTTGTTAAAGGGGGCTTCCAGATTCCGATAAGCCCCCAGCCCACAGACCCCACAACCACCGGCCAAGGTTGTGGGGAAGAGGCCCTTGTCCCCAACATCAGGACAAGGTGCTTTTGGGGGGGAGCCCTCCCTGCCCCAAATCACCCCCCACTTGTTGAGGGCATGTGGTTCGGTATGGTTCAGGAGGGGGGAGGGCACTCGCTCGCTTCCCCCACACACCCCCCCCCCCCCCCTCCCCCCCCTGCTGAACAGCTGGACTGCATGCTCTGATAACAGTCTGGTATGGATTTTGGGGGGGACCCCTACGCCATCCTTAAGTTTTTTGCCATGGGAGTTCCCCTCAAAATCCATTCCAGACCTGAAGGGCTTGGTATTGATGGGAGGGGGAACCCCACGCCATTTTTTTTTTTTTTTTCTTCTTCTTTTTAATTGTTGGGAATTCTTTCTTTTACATTCAGCTATCCGTGTGGAACCCTGCTGACAGCTGAAATATTAACACATGGTTGTCACTACTAAAATACCACATGACTTGATAAAAATAACTAATGCGGTATTTTAGTAGCGTTTATTTTTTTCTTACTTTGGGGCGGCACAGTGGCTTAGTGGTTAGCACTTCCACCTGGCAGTACTAGGGTCGTTGGTTCGAATCCCAACCATGGCACCACCTGCCTGGAGTTTGCATGTTCCCCCTGTGCCTGCGTGGGTTTCCTCCGGGTACTCCGGTTTCCTCCCACACTCCAAAGACATACAGGTAAGTTAATTGGATCCTGTATAAATTGTCCATAGTATGTGTATATATGAATGAATGTGAGTTAGGGACCTTAGATTGTACACCCTTTGAGGGTTAGGGACTGATGTGAATGTACTAATATATATATATATATATATATATATATATATATATATATATATATATATATATAGCACTGCGTAAATTGACGGTGCTATAGAAGTACCTGAAATAAATAAAACCTTCAGAATGGATTAATTGGTTTTCAATGCATTACTATAGGAAACGGCGGTTTACAAATTTTTCGCTATACAAAAAAGTCCCGAGGTGTATATGTGTGTGTGTGTAAGTGCTTATTGTTAAATATATTTGATTTAGTATATGTCCTCTTCACAGGTTGCTATGCGTGCCTTGGGTTTTGAGCCAAAGAAAGAAGAAATGAAGAAGATGATCTCTGATATTGATAAGGATGGCTCTGGCACTATTGATTTTGAAGATTTCTTGGCTCTAATGACACAGAAAATGGCAAGTCCTGCAACCATGTTCATTCTGCTTATTATTTCTTTATGTGAGTGAATGCTGACTGTCTTATTCCATTTATTTCCAGAGTGATAAGGACTCTAAAGAGGAAATCATGAAAGCTTTCCGACTGTTTGATGATGATGGCACAGGAAAAATTTCATTCAAAAACTTGAAGAGGGTTGCTAAGGAATTGGGAGAGAACCTTACAGATGAGGAATTGCAGGTATTTTTCAAAATGTTAATTTAAAGCAACCTGGTGTAAGTCGTCTTTCAGGGCAGCACCAGTGTAGCTCCACCCACGTTCTCAGGAAACCGTGGGGGGTTATTTACTAAAGCTGTAAAGAAACCAATCAGCTTCCAGGTTTTATTGCTAAAGCTTAATTGATCAATCTGAGGTTAGAAGCTGATTGGCTACCATGCAAAGGTGCACCAGATCTGAGTGAACCTGCTTTAGTAAATAAACCCCACTTCGACTAAGATCAGGATAAGCACTTGCCCTCCAGAGGATTTACTCCCCTTCCTGACATTGGCATTCTGACACTGGGGGGGACGGACTGACTAACTGTCAATGACATCCCCAGTGACACTAATACAGTGATCAGTGCTAATAAAAAGCACTGACACTTTATTAATGACACAGGGCAGGAAGGGATTTAACATCTCGGGCGATCAAAGTGTTAACTGTGTGCTGTGTTTCACTGTGTAAGCACGCTGCTTTGTATTGCTATGCAGAGCAATACAAAGCAGCATGCTGGTGCTGACAGGGGAGAGATCTGTATTGTTTACATACAGACCTCTCCCCCATCAGTGTTCTTTGGCGATCGCCGGGGAATCTCTGGCAGGGACATGGTGATCGACCGCTGTAGCCGTCAATGGCAGCTTGGGTAGGGCGCATGTGCGCCCCCTATCCAGAAATACAAAATCACGTGTACGTGTATATACACATGATTTTGCGCAGCCCTGCCACCCTGTAGCAGTAGTTCTGCTATAGGCCAGTCGGGAAGCTGATAATTTATGTGGCAATGCTAAGTTCTAACCAGTTGTGGGGGTATTGGCGCCATGCAATTTGTTTTCTATTTTTCCCCCTTTTGGTGACCATCCCAGCATCTCCCCTGATGGGTGAGTGGGGGGGGGTGTCTTGGAGCCCTCTTCTTCCCTTCCATTTCTTCAAAATGTAAATCCATTTTAATTTAATGTTAATTAAATACCTCACACTACACTTACAAACATGGAATGTTCCAAGGGGTGAAATAAGTGTGCAAAAACACTACTGAATACAACTTGGTAAAAAGTTAATATAATCAGCACATTGCAAAAACAAACCAGCTTAACTGCTCTAATCAGGATAATATTCGTCAACTTTTTCTTTATATAGGGTTAACTGGATACATTTGCTCCAAACCTCTCTATCCTTGCGATCTGTTGCAATCCCCTTTGGAGATCAATATACAGGTGTCTCCAGAGTATACGCAATAATTGCTCTAACTACTAATGAAATGTAACGACTGTTTGTTTTGTAGTGTTGACACTAATTTTAATATTTTGTGTTCTAGGAAATGATTGATGAAGCTGACCGTGATGGGGATGGAGAAATTAATGAACAAGAATTTCTAAGGATCATGAGAAAAACAAGCCTTTATTAGCACATGACGGAGTATGCCAACGACTTACATTATGTGCATAGAGAGCAGAAGGAAAGGAAACTTGTATCATGACATTTTTGGACTGGTATCCAGACGATGATTTTAGTTTCTGCATCTATACTACTCGGAAATGTGCCACTAAATAAAGCATGGCCATATTTTCTACTGTCAGCTTTTTCAGTAAAGCGTTCTTATTCTTAAAGTGGAACTAAAGTCTGCAATACTCACTTCTCCTTTAACGGTCCTACGTCTTTCGCTCTCTTCTACCCAGCCCTTTTTGTGTTTCGGGTTGCGTCCATCTCCATGAGTCAAAGAAAGATGACGTCACTCCTGTGCATGCAAAGGAGTTCAGCCATCCTGGCATACAGAATTTGCAGTGGAGTGTAAATCGAGCTGCACTTGCACAGCTCCATGTATGTTCTAAGGGAGATTACAAGCAAGTGAGTAGATTTATTTTATTGCAGAAGAAACATTGCATGCCTGTTCTGCAATAAATAGCCTGTCTGCTTGCAGTTTTTGAAACTGAGACTTTAGGTCCGCTTTACATGAAATATCTTTTTAACCAATCATAGTTAATGTGTATCAAGTCAAACCTGTACAAGATGGATTCTGACTGTTGCTCCGGGTTTCTACACTTAAGAACTGGCACTCGAAGCCCAACTCAAAGCAAACTTCTTTTTTTTTTTTTTTTTGTATACGATTGGAAAAAGCTAGAATCTTTTCCATATTACAAAACAAAAAGGTTGTGCTGGATATAGGCTTTAAGGATAAGAAATCTACATTGAATGAGACTGTGTGTTTTGCTGTACTTTGCAAATAGTATTTTAAGACAAATAAAATTCCACAGAAAGAAACAGAAGATATTTTGCCCATTGCAACCAACGGGGTTTCAACTTTCATTTTTGATTAACAGTTATGGGCAATATTTACATTTGCTTCTGTTTGTTTTTATGAATGAAGATCATTCACACCTTGCATTACATATGCATAGATACAGAACTGTATGTTAGATATAGTAACTGAATGTATCCATAGAGGATAGTAGATATTTCTCTTGTCTATTTTTTTGAACATTGCTTGTGTATTTTTTTTTTTCTTTTTCTTTTTTTTTTTTTTTTGATTTATTGTAATGGATGAATGGCTGATAGGTCATTTTGCTTTGTATAAGTGGCTGTTAAAGTATATTGTAGCATATTGATTAAATATTTTCTAATAAAAATATTTTTATAGATAGTCTGGTTGTGGTGTACTTGAATTAGGAATTGTTTGATTTATTTATTTTATACAAAGTATAATATAGTTTAGGTATTCCTCCAATCACTCTCAAGGCAATGCTGCATCCTTTAGCTTACCTGCATTTCTCTGACCGTTTCCTGTCAATGACTACTGTGTGCCTGCTACAGCTTGTAATTGTTCTTGTGATAGGCACTAGGTAGCGTTGTTCCAGCAAATGAGTAACTAGTGCAGGCCAAGAACCGCTTAGGTGGCACTTACACATATTAGTAAGGCTCCAGATTGAAGTTTTTACAGCAAGCAGGAATGTCCAAGCAGCACCACTCCTGATCTAGAGGTGGTTTCAAATGTTACTTGTACAGTTGCAAGAAAAAGTATGTGAACCCCTTGGGATTATGTGGAGTTTTGCATGAATTGGGCATAAAATGTGCTCTGAATGTCATCTAAGTCACAACAATAGAAAAACACAGTCTGCTGAACATAATACTACACAAACATTAGATGTTGCCATGGTTTAATTGCACATAACATGTAAACATTCACAGTGCAGGGAGGAAAAAGTTTGTGAACCTTTGGACTTAATAACTGGTTGACCCTCCTTTTGGCAGCAATAACCTCAACCAAACGTTTCCTGTAGTTGCAGATCAGACCTGCACAACGATCTGGAGTAATTTTGGACCACTCCTCTTCACAAAACTGTTTCAGTGTAGCAATATTCTTGGGATGTCTGGTGTGAATCACTCTCTTAAGGTCATGCCACAGCATTTCAATCGGGTTGAGGTCAGGACTCTGACTGGGCCACTCCAGAAGGCGTATTCTGTGCTGTTGCAGCCATTGTTTTGTTGAATTACTTGTATGCTTTGGGTCATTGTCCTGTTGCATCACCCATCCTCTGCGGAGCTTCAGTTGGCGGACAGATGGTCGTACGTTTTCCTGCAAAATGTCTTGATAAACTCTGGAATTAATTTTCCCATCAATGACAACAATCCCTCCAGGCCCTGAGGCAGCAAAGAAGCCCCAAACCATGATGCTCCCTCCGCCATGTTTTACAGTGGTTTTGATGTTGGTGTGCTGTGCCTTTTTTTTTCTCCACACATAGTGTTGTGTGTTCTTCCCAAACAACTCAATCTTGGTTTCATCTGTCCACAGTATATTTTGCCAGTAGTGCTGTGGAACATCCAGGTGCTCTTTTGCAAACTTTAAACGTGCTGCAATATTCTTTTTGGACAGCAATGGCTTCCTCCGTGGTGTCCTCCCATGTACTCCATTCTTGTTTAATGTTTTCCTTATTGTAGATGTGTCAACAAAAATGTTAGCATGTGCCAGAGATTTCTGTAGGTCTTTAGCTGACACTCTGGGATTCTTCTTTACCTCATGCAGCATTCTATGCTGTGCTCTTGCAGTCATTTTTACAGGACGACCACGCCTAGGGAGAGTAGCAACAGTGCTAAACTTTCTCCATTTGTAGACAGTTTGTCTTACCATGGACACATGGACATCAAGGCTTTTGGAGATACTTTTGTAACCCTTTCCAGCTTCATGCAAGTCAACAATTCTTGATCGTAGGTCTTCTGAGAGCTCTTTTCTGCGAGGCATGGTTCACATCAGACAGTGCTTCTTGAAACCAGTAAACCCAAAACAGGTGTGTGTTTTTTAAGGGCAGGACAGCTGTCAGCAACACATCCAATATCATCACACTGATTGGAGTCAAGGTTGGCTCACTCCTGGCTCCATTTAGCTCTGGGAGAAGTCATTAAGCTAGGGCCTCACATACTTTTTCCTCCCTGCACTGTGAATGTTTACATGTTATGTGCAATTAAACCATGGCAACATCTAATGTTTGGGTAGTATTATGTTCAGCAGACTGTGTTCTTCTATTGTTGTGACTTAGATGACGTTCAGAGCACATTTTATGCCCAATTCATGCAAAACTCCACATAATCCCAAGGGGTTCACATAATTTTTCTTGCAACTGTGAGTTAAGTAACTTAAGTTATTTTAAAACCAATGTTTGAGATTTTAGTTTTTTTTTTTTTTCTCATTATTGAGCAAGCTTTCATTTACCGGAAGCAGTTGATTCAGAATGGCTAGGAAGATTGAATACATATTGACATTTATTCTGAGCATACACACAGCAACTTCAACAACTTTCTAACCAGTGTTTAATTGGAAAAACTATGGAGCCTCATGCGCACTGGCGTTTAGCCCTATTTCATGAGGCTTTGGTATTTAGAAAGGTGTTGATACCCTGTCTGAGAGGCTGACAGCTACTGTGGCTGGACTTGTGTTTAGGGCAGAATGCGCCCAAGGATGAATGCCTGGAATCTAAGACCTCTTACCAGGGGCGGACTGACAACTCATGGGGCCCCTGGGCAGTAAGAGATAATGGGGCCCCCTGTGTCCCCGCCTACACGACACACACAACACCCCTACCTACATATTGCAGCTCAGCTGCATAGAAGGGGCATTTAAATATTTACTGCAGCAAAGACTGCATAAATGTTCCCAGTTTCTTTCCGTAGAAGCCACTGGGCACTTCCAGGTTAAAAAAATGGCTGCCATGTTGGGGAAGTGAGAGAGGGGGGGAAGAGGGGTGAGAGAGGAGGAGGAATGAGAGAAAGCGAGGAGGGGTGTGTTTTTTAAATTGCTCTAAAAATTGTGCATGGCTTGAAAGGGGTGTGGTTAAATAGTGTCTGAGATGACTTATAGTGCAGAATGAGGTAATGTTAAATAGGTAATGTACAGCGTGGAGTGGATGACAGGGGGTAGTATATACAGGGAGAGGAGTGCAGAGTGTATGGCAGTGGGTAGTATGTGAAGGATGGTGTCAGTAGTTAATTTTTATTAGTATTATTATTTTTTTTTTTTTTATAAATTTAATGTTTTATTATTTATTTTTATATTTTTTTCTTTCCAAAATGCTTTTGGGTGGCCAGTGGATGGTGTCAGAATATTTTAAGTTTTATTATCTAATTTTTTAAATTATTTTTTACAATTCATTTCTGTATTATTTTTTTCACAATGATTTTGTGGGGGCAGTGGACAGTGTCAGTAGGGAGTGAACAGGGAGCACTAGTATATGTTGGGCTGTCATTAGATTTGGATGAATAAACAGAACCTGTGCCCCCTTATATCGGAAGGAAGGGAATGGATGGAGAGAAGGAAGGAAGAAAGAAAAGGGAGGGAATGGATGGAGGAGGGAAGGAAGGAGGGGTGGGAGGAAAGAATGAAGGGAGGGGATGGAGGAAGAAAGAAAGGGAGAGAATGGATGGAGGAAGGAAGGAATGAAGAAAAGAGACAATGGATGAAGAAAGGGGGGGGGGGAATAAAAGGGAGAGAGGGAGTGGATGAAGAAAGAGGAGGGAGGGAGGGAAGGAAGGAGGAGTGGGAGGAAAGAATGAAGGGAGGGGATGGAGGAAGGAAGGGAAAGAAGAAAAAGGGAGGGAATGGATGGAGAAAGGAAGAAAAGAAAATGGATGAAGGAAAAGGAAGGAAGTTAGGGAGGGAATGGAGGAAGCGAGGGGAGGAAGGAAGGGATTAGATGGAGGGAGGAAGGAAAAAGGAGGGAGGGAATGGATGAAGGAAGGAAGGAGGGGAGGAAAAGAAATGAAGAGGGGATGGGAGGGAAGAAAAGGGAGGGTAGGAATGAAGGAAGGAAAGAAAATGGATGGACAAAGTAATGAAGGAAAAGCAGGGAAGGAAGAAAAGGGAGGTAATAGATGGAGGGAGGGAGGAAGGAATGTTAGGGCGGGAGAGAGAGGAAGGAA